ACGCGGATCCTGCAGCTCGATACGCATGTGATGGTCGATTTCGTTGATGGGGATTTGCTGGCGGCAGTTAGGACAGAGGGTTGTTGGGGTGGCAGTAGTGTTCAGACGTTTGGCTTGGGCGCGGGGTACGTAGTCGGCGCGGATGCGCATGGGTTGTTGGGTGGAGCCTGGAGGCGGCGTGGGTATGGCGCGCGCAGCAGCCTGGGCTGATTGTGCCTGTTCGCGTTCTTGTTGGCGTTCGCGGATGCGATCTTCTTCTTCAGAGACATAGGGGGCGGTCATCGGGGTTGTAGGGGTTGAGATAGGCGTAGGAGATTTGGGGGGGAAGGGGGACGGCTGTTGGTGGTCTGCTGTGACAGGAACTGGGATAGGGTGCTGTGGGGCTGGGGATGAGACGTCTTGCGAACGTGGGTAGGCGTCGTAGTATGTTGCCTCTTCATATGTGGGCATTGCTTCCTCGATTCGTCTGTCGTGCGGTTGTAAAGACATCATTGCCTTTTGTTCTAGGGAGGCGGTCTGTAGATCGTTCAACGTTGTTGGGAGTGGGAGTTCGGCCTGGTCGTCCGCCTCTGTGAAAAGAACAGTTTCCACTACCACAAAATCATGCCAGTCGATTTGGGCATATGCAATCCGTTCTTGCTCCTCCTGCTCCTCCTTCTTTTGCTTTTGTTGCTGCTGAAATTTAACCCACTCAGCGCGCTGTTTTGCCCGATCGAGGATATGATACTTGTCCTTCACATTCCTTTCTAGTTCCGCTATTCGGCTCGACATTGAATTAGAACCATCCGACTCATCGACTTGAAGAAGGGATGTGTATTGGTCAACAAGCCGGGTGAAGAACTGGTAGAGGCTATGCTGTGGCCGAAGAAAGTCAAACTGGAAGTTTCTCGTTTCGCGCTGGGACAAGGCGGTCATAAACGATTTCCCTCGCTTGGCGACAAATAGGGCAGTCAGTTTGACTACTTCAAGATCCAGAGCATTGATATTCGGCATACGCGCAGAGTAATGAAATTCCGGGGGCTGAGCCGGGCCCGTTGGCTTTTCGGGTTCTGGTGCAGCCACTGGTTCCCCAGCTCGGCCAGCAGAAATTGCAGTCCCCCTACCCGCCTTGATTTCGCTAAGTCGCCATGAGTAAAATGCAGCATAGGCATCACTCGGATTCAAAAAGGAGAATTTCGGATTAGATTTCTCTTTGTCGCGGACTCGATCTGATAAGAGAAGAGAGCCAAAAATCAGTATCTTATAGTGGAGTAACAAGCGGAATTGGAAGACTCTACCTTCAAAAACAGGACCATTACGCGCTACAAACCCGGCGGTCTTCTCGATAATGGCTAGAAATTTTATCAGTTCCACGATCACAACCATAAGAGGTTTTAACTTAGACACACTAAGCGGGAGCTACTGACTTCTAATATCTTTCGGAGGCAGAACAATGTCCTCGGGAGGCTTGCTGACTTCTTCAGGTAAGCCTGGGGGGGTCGCAACTGATCCGTTTGTCACGGACGGGGCCATGATGGGCAGTACAGCTGTTGCTGGCAGAGAGTATCTGCCAACTCCGACCTTGTTGCGGCGAAGGAGTTACCAGAGCGATGGAGGCTCTGCCCACGTGATTTTTAACAGCGGCCTAGTCCCAAATAGGCAATTGGCCCATGAACAATTGAAGGGTCAGAGCCGCAGATAACCAAAGGAATTCCGAAGCGAGGATATTGTATGTATTGTAGGATTCTATTCCCAATAGAGGCACAATTGATTTTGCCCCCATGTACTGTATTTCTTTTGGTGTAGATGCAGAACCATGTTCTTGCATGTGCCTCGAAATGCTCCAATTGGTCGCTTCAATGTTCAGCCCTTGTTTAGCGGCAAACGTCTTCAAACAACTGAGGAGTGGTAGGCGACTCCTGAATTCCCACCCATCCTGTTAAGCAGCGTCTGGAAAATCGAGACATTCCACTTCACTTTTCTTTCTGTGGGATGTAGACACTCCCCCCCTTTTCCCTACTTTCGTTAATTACCAGTTTATTTCCGCGACGGAGACGCCTCTGTTCCCGCGCCGGGGTCCCTTCTCTTCCTCGCTCGATGAACTCAACGTTGCTGTGTCAAATATCACTCTTTTTTTCATCGTTTTACTACGAGTTTCTTGAAACAAGGGTGGCTGGCATATAATCTATTTAATCCCTCTTCTCTTCTTTTTTTCTCTTTTCCTCCAAATATGGCCTCCAAGTCTGCAAAAGGTGGGCTGGAGGTGAAGCCCCAGAACCGTAACCGTCGTTCACCATCCCGATCCCCTGGTCATAGGAATCGGAAAAAAGCTGCGGCGTCGAAAAAGCTTGACTACAGCTCTGAAGGGATTTCGGATTATGATGTACTTCAGTTGCCAGTTTCAGATTGTAAAACCGTGTTGTTGTTGACGGCTGTATCCGTTGTGGTCCGGCTGTTCAGGATCTACCAGCCAACAAGTGTGGTATTCGATGAAGTGCAGTACGTCGCCACCCTTGCCCCGACTCTGTCAATTGACATAGATACTAAGATTTGGCTTAATATGTCATCAGCTTCGGTGGATTTGCGACCAAATATATCAATGGAAAGTTTTTCATGGACGTACATCCCCCGCTCGCGAAAATGCTCATCGCCCTTGTCGGATACCTGGCTGGATTTCGCGGTGACTTCGACTTCAAAGAAATCGGGAAGGATTATTTGGAGCCCGGGGTTCCATACGTAGCTATGCGTATGCTGCCCGCAATAATGGGTATTATGGCTGTCCCAACCATGTTTCTTACGTTGAAGGCATATGGGTGCCGAACATCCACGGCTTCTATGGGCGCGCTTCTTGTTACGTTTGGTAAGGCCCAAAAACTTGACTTTTCTACGCCGCGAACCCCACAATATTGACTGACGCCTCTGTGCTTCAAAAAGAGAACGGTCTTGTTACCCAGTCACGCTTTATACTCCTCGATTCACCTTTAATCATATTTACGGCCCTAACTGCCCTCGCCTTTACAAATTTTACAAACCAACATGAGCAAGGTCCATCGCGAGCATTTGGGGCCTCCTGGTGGTTTTGGCTTACACTTACAGGCATCTTCCTGGGTGCTACTGTCAGTGTAAAATGGGTGGGGCTTTTTACGATCGCGTGGGTTGGAAGCCTGACACTCGTTCAACTCTGGGTACTCCTCGGTGATACTCGAACAGTGACGATCGTAAGTTACGAAACTATAGTTTTGAAAATCGATTTTGATTCCTGTTACTGACTGCCTCTATAAACTAGCGTGTGTGGTTTAAACACTTCTTTGCTCGAGCATTCTGCCTCATTGTCATTCCCGTCGGGTTCTACATGGCCATGTTTGCGATTCACTTTTTGTGCTTGTCCAACCCAGGGGATGGAGATGGCTTCATGTCTTCTGAATTCCAAGCGACCCTCAGTTCCAAAAAAATGCAGGATGTACCAGCTGATGTAGCGTTCGGTTCGAGGGTTACCATCCGCCATCACAATACTCAGGGAGGATATTTGCATTCGCATAACTCTATGTATCCCGAGGGCAGCAAGCAGCAGCAGATTACTCTATATCCCCATAAGGATGAAAACAACATCTGGATCATGGAAAACCAAACTCAGCCATTGGGTGAATATGGAGAAATCGAGGGACCATCTGCCTGGGATAACCTGACTGCTAACCACGTCATAGACGGGTCAGTGATCAAGCTCTATCACACAAGCACTCAACGAAGACTTCATTCACATGATGTACGCCCACCCGTAACGGAAGAGGAATGGCAGAATGAGGTATCTGCTTATGGCTATGAAGGGTTTGCCGGTGATGCGAACGACTTATTCCGCGTTGAAATTGTCCGATCAATGTCCGATGGTGACGAAGCGCAGAAGCGCATCCGCACAATTAAGACGAAATTCAAACTCGTCCATGTGATGACAGGATGCGTTCTATTTTCGCACAAGGTGAAGCTTCCAGCATGGGGCTTTGAGCAGCAGGAAGTTACATGCGCCAAAGGTGGCTCCTTACCCAATAGCATTTGGTATGTTGAGCAAAATGACCATCCAATGCTCGGACCAGATGCCGAGAAGGTCAATTACAAGCTTCCTGGGTTCCTGGGCAAATTCTGGGAACTTCAGAAAGTTATGTGGACAACGAACGCAGGCCTGCTCGATTCACATGCTTGGGATTCCAGACCTCCTTCGTGGCCGACTCTTTTACGCGGTATTAATTTTTGGAGTAGAGAGCACCGCCAGATCTACCTGATGGGGAATCCCCTTATTTGGTGGTCTTCAACTACTGCAATTGTTGCCTATGTCATTTTTAAGGCCATTGCCACGCTACGGTGGCAACGCAGCTGCCCATGATTATAAAAACGTCACCTTCAAACGATTCGATTATGAGATTGGCCAAACTGTTCTAGGATGGGCTTTCCACTACTTCCCTTTCTATCTTATGGCCCGCCAACTCTTCCTTCATCACTATTTCCCGTCTTTATACTTTGCCATCCTTGCATTCTGTCAGGTCATCGACTATGGCGTCAACAGAATCAGTCTCTCTGGCATGGTGAGCAGCAAACGTGTAATTGGCAAGATATTCATGGTGCTCTTCGTTGTTTTGTCTATTGTGACTTTCACCATGCTCTCGCCCTTGGCGTATGGTAACCCTTGGACTAAAGCTGCATGCCGCAGAGTCAAGCTTCTTGATTCTTGGGATTTTGATTGTAATCTCTTCCATAATGATGTGAGTTTGTTATAGTGTGGCAAAGGGGTGACGTACTCTCTTATTCTTTGTTGGTGGCTGCTAACTGCACTGTCGGTATTTAGCTAGCTGATTATCAGAAAGCGAGCTTTGTCGGTGGAACTACAAAATCTGTACAGGCAATGCCAACTCCCGAGTCGCAACAGCAGCAGCAAAGGGTTGTTGACCAGGCGGAAGGAGAAGACAATGCTGCATTGGTGACCCCTGTACAAAACCTAGCATCTACCCATCTCGACTCAGTGGTATATCGTGATCAGCATGGAAATGTTTTGAATGAAGAGGAAGTTGCAATGCTGGAGAAAAATGGCATCGTTTCATTTGAAACCAGATATGAAACCAAGACACGAATAATCGATGCTCAGGGTCGCGAGATTAATGGGGAACAACTAGCCCCTTCCCACCCCGATGCGGAGGGACAGAATCCCGAAACAGAAGGCCAAGGCGGCACGGTAGGTGAGGTTCCCATTAACAAACCTGCATCCGTCCCTGGTGATGAGAAATCCGTAGAACGGGAGGACGATGGTAAGCCCAGACCCGCGAGTGAAGGCAATGAGGCTACGAAGAAGGATGAAGGAAATTGACGAGTGTATTTTTGTGTCCCGTCACCACCCTCAGCTTACCCCCCACCCCTCTCTCCACCCCCGTTCTCCTCCTATGTATTTCTTTTCTTTTTCCTCTTTTCCGTCTAATATCTGTCGTTTAAATACGATATTATATGATGTGTCATTTAAAATACGTGTAGCAGGTTTTTGTTTTGGAGATATGCTGATCAAGAAATGTTTCAGTACCATTCTCTTGCATTGATTTTCTATTTCCATTTTTTCTTCTTTTATATCGAATTTGAGGATTGAGTTTTCCCAACATTTAATTGAATCAATAAATAAGTAAAAGAGGAGGCGACCGAGCACGCGTATGACATAGAAATACAGGATGATGTGGAGTGAGCTTGACGGGATACAACTTGGGACGATGAGGAGATTTATTTGGAAAAATGTTAGAACAATTATTTATGAAGGGCACTGTTCCTCTCAGATTGTATTTTGTTATACAAAAAAATATGGCCAACAGATGACCCCAGCCTCTTCTTTTTCTCAATTATGCAATACAAATTCGCTTGCTTTACAGCAAATCACTCATTCATTGCGGTACCTCTCCTTATCTCAATAGTCGTCTTTGCCATACTTATTGAATCGGTCGTGTAGATCCTGCAATATATCGAAATAGTTAGCAATAGGTCCAAACATTAGTCAGATATTTCGATGTATACATAGACAGCACCTTTGGCAATGTCACGTTTGGAATGATAACCTCATTCAGAGCGCTGGGGGCTTTCTTGAGCGGCTTCGATGTGTCGCCATGGGGGTGGTATTGGTATTTGTAGTTGGCCTTGGACTCATCCTCCTGCTCCCAGGGCATAGCAGCTTCACCAATTCGAATGTTGCTCTCCGAAGTGATGGTTGTGGGAGAGCTGCCAAGGTACCAGCCAACAATACCGAAAGCACCGGCCATGATACCCAAGAGGATCTATACCGTCAACAGCAAACGAGACAATAATCAGTCAGAGACTTCTATACACTGATAGGGAGTGGCAGCATACGTAGAGCTCAGGGTCTCTCTTTGGGGCGTTGTTAAGACCGGCTTCCTCGATCTTGGATGAGATGCGACGGACTGGCTTTATGTTGGCCGGTGCTCTGAAAGGCTGTCTTAGAGCAGCGCGGCGGGCAAAAGTGGTGGAAATCGACAACATTTTATAGCGTACCCCGATTACTGAGCTAATTGGGTCAACAGAATGGTTGTTGTATAGTAATGGACGAGGGTGAGGGCCTAAGTGTGATTCGATATTATTTCCCTTTAGAAGCAACGAAGGTCGGTTTACTCGGCTTAGCTAATGCCGATTGTCACATGATGTGAGGCCTGGCGAGATAGTCACGTGCAACGCTTCTTTTCCAGTTGAGGCGCAGCCAAGGGAAGGAAAGTTCAGGGCGACGATGAGATAGCTAGAGAACAACAACTTCACTTCTGCTGTATTGGGCTTTTTTTTGCTGAAAAATTAAACACACTCTTTTCCCACCATAGTGAGCCTCCTCTAGAGGATATTGTTGTTGCGCTCGAGACCTCATCTACACGCCCTTCCTTTGTTCCCAAATCCGTCGAGGGTTGAGCCCCTGACTAAAAATATCAATACGAGTCCTCGTTCGACTACCTCTCCTCCATACACCCAGTTCTTTCGGCACTATGTCGAGTGCTTATTCTCCAATCCATCTTCCTAAATAACAAAAATGGCTAATCGACAAAGCTCTGCTGCGTCGGATGATCTGCATAACCCACAGCCTGGAGCTATGCCTGATCATGCCGTCAACCCACCTCGGCCTGTTTCCTATATTTCCACCCACATGACGGATATAGCCTCAGAAGATGGCGATACTTCACGACCTCCCACTGCGATTTCTTCCCAGCCGGCATGGTCGCAGCCTCCGGCCTCCCGACGTGGTCCTCCCCCAACCAGAAATTCAATGACCGCGACCAATCAAGGGACGAGTCGGCCCCCAAGCTCCTCGAGCCGAATGAGTAGGACACACATTCCTTCGCTGACTGCCCATGGGTTTTTCCGTCCAATGAGCTCGCAGAGGCTGCAAGCACAACGCAGTGGACGACCAATAAACACTCCCAAGCACCATGGCCCTCCCACCTCAACTGAAGATGGCATGAGCGATGTTGGTAGCCAGAAACGAAGGAGCCTGCTCTCGAACCATACAATACTCTATGGCGGGCCTTCTTCTCACGATAACGAACTTCCGCCGCCATCACGAGGTACCGAATTCTCGGACCATGTTATTACAGATCGTGGAACGTCAAATGCAAGCCCTACAGGAAATACAACCGTGCGAAGCCTTGGTGAGAGTGTAAGGTTACTCCACGATAGGCCACAAATGGCAACACCGTCAAACCTCAACTTGGGGAAGAATTATAATAAGCCCAGCAGCCCACAGGATAATGCACAGAAATCACCCATGTCTTTTGGTTCTGGTTTCCTAATGCCTGGCAAAAATGACGGCCCTGATCGGCGTGACTCGAGGAACCATGAAAGACTCTCCTCAGCTGCGTCCACTCCAGGTTCCGTATTGCAAAAGGGATTCAAGGCCGAGAACAAGCCAAATTTAGGGAAGAACTATGAATACTTTGCGGGAAACACAGTGTTTTGCGGTGGAGGCAGGTTTCAGAATTCCCGCGATAAACCAGTCAATATCGCGACGGGAATCATGGTAGTATTGCCCGCTGCACTATTCTTCGGATATTCGTAAGTATAAGTTGCGGAATTATCTTCAGGGGATAATTTACTAACTTTTAGGATAGAGCTCCATGGCTATGGCGCAATGCTTCTCCTTCGATACCTATTATTTTCGCGTACCTCTTCCTTCTCTGCTTTTCTTCCTTCATTCATGCCTCTGTTGTTGATCCAGGAGTAAGATCTAACTATTCTCCGTCCCTGAGATGTTTAACATGTCTATTACGAATCTAACATCCAGTTCCCAGATTTTTCCAAGAAATTTGCACCCAATGCCCCCAGCCGACCCAAACGAAGATCCATTAACTCCTGGACCGCCTTCCAATGATTGGGTGATGACAAAGCTTGCGACATCAGACGTAGCGGCCATGGATGTTCCAGTGAAGTACTGCAGAACATGTAATATCTGGCGGCCTCCGCGCTGTTATCATTGCCGTGTCTGCGACAACTGCATTGAAACCCTAGATCACCACTGTGTTTGGCTCAACAATTGTGTTGGGCGCCGCAACTATCGCTACTTTTTCACCTTTGTCTGCTCTGGAACGATTTTGTCTCTCTTTCTTATGGGTGCAAGCTTGGGACATTGTCTTGGTTACCGTAACCAAGAGGGAATCTCGTTCAGTGAAGCCATTTCCAAATGCCGGGTTCCTTTTGCCATGTTTTTATACGGCCTCCTCGCAGCACCATACCCCGCGTCGCTCTGGGCATATCACTTCTTTTTAATGGGCAGAGGCGAAACGACCCGAGAATACCTTAATTCCCATAAGTTTCCCAAGGAAGATCGACACAGACCATTTACCCAGGGCAATATTCTCAGGAATTGGATCGCCGTGCTTTTGCGACCTCGGCCCCCAACTTATGCCCAATTCAAGAGACGGTACGAAGAAGGGGATCAGCGTTTTGAGGCCGAGAAGCGCAAGTACAGAGCGCGTGACCCGGAAGCACAGACTGGCGAAGGAATGGAAATGCAGGGAGTTCCCAATGGACCTGCCTCTAATAAATAAACCCACCAATGGTTGATCCATTAGTACTGAAAACCCCCACGCTCTTTTCTCATTTATATTATATCTTCATTTCTTTCAAAAATCACCACATCACAGAATTCGGTGATACGAACGCGACATCACTGACGTGAGCTAATACTTTTTTTTTATTATCATCAGCATCATCATCATTATTATAATTCACTTTGTGATTCCCCGTCTCTATACCTACAGCTTCTATTCTCTCCCTGACCTCTTTTATTTCCTTTCTTATGCCAACCGGCCTTAATTTTCGACCCTACCACCTCCAATTTTTTAAGTGATTTTCCCTAATGTTCGATATGAGCGAGATGTTCGATGGCGTTGCTAGAATTAAATTAATTAGGCTTCATACCCCTGTTCGTTGATGGATGCCTGTTCCTTTTCACACTTACAACTTCATTGGCCCCTCACGGGGTAAACTTTTTGATACCAATCCGGCGATGTTGAATTGGAATTAATTTTTTTTGTGTGTCTCAACAGCTTCTTTTTAGTATTTTTTTCTACATTCGGCGCTTGATATCAAGCCTAACCTCGATTGAGAGATGTATCGGTCACACTACATTCATAGATTCCTTATGTTTTGGAGTTTTTGTATCGCAAGAATACACCCATATCACGCACCATTGTGAGCACAGCGTCATTTTCTGAGAAATGCCTGTTTGTCCTGAGAAGGAATCGGAAGAGCAAAAAGCATGCGAGCCGGTAGAGATAGTACTAGCTACACAAAGTAAGAGAGGACGACATATATAACAGTGTAGGATATCGTAATAAGGGGCTGGATTGGCCTGGTCAGCGCCCTCTCTGCATGGATAACCCCTGACCAACGAGGTAACAAACTCATAGTCACGGCCATACCAACTACACGCAATCCTGCCTCCTAACACCAAGTTCTTTGGTATTTATCGCCCTTCTACCGTCTCTAATCAAACATGCCCATCTGACAACTCATGAAACGCGCTTCAACCCGCTGATACCCACGCGTAGCGAAAGTCTACCTGGTGTTTAGCGCCACGGCCCGCTCCGCAGACGCCAAACTACCATCTCTCAGCTATCAACACGTATACCTTTTCAATTGTTCCCCTTCCATGAGAATCGAGCAAGAAATTATTTTCCTATCCTACGCGGTTCCTCCCGGCCCATTCTCCCAGGAGGAGGAAGGTACGATTTCGTAAAAAAATCAACCGATGGCTCGTCTCTCGCGGGCTTCCGGGGTATCCCCGTCCCCACCCGTTTCCGTTCCAGATTCCGATGCGGCACTGACAACATCAACTTCCACCGAACAACATCTACTAACGCCCGCTACGAGTCTGTCGGAATCTTCCAGTATGAGTGGTACTCCTGTGATGGGTGTGGAGAAAAATGACACAGAGGGGACTGTGACTGCGGAGAGGCGTTCTCGACGCGTCACGCGTTCATCGCTGGTGATGGCGGTGGGGGCCGGTGTGGTGCGCGAAGAGAGAAGACATATTATGAACAGCGATGATGAGGGAGCTACGCATCATCCGTTGCATTCGAATCCGCTGCTGCATGACGGGGGATGATGGTGGTGTTGAACTTGAGAAGGAAGAGCAGAACCAAAAGATCACGAAGAAGGAGAAGGAGAAGCAATTGGGCAAAAACGAGTTGGGGAAAAGAGCTGCGAGCAGCAAAGGGAAAGGAAGTAGTGAAAATGGGTCTCGGAGACGGTCTTCGCGTTTGGTCCTGTTGGAGAAAACTAATGAGATGGTGGGGAAAGCTTCGCCGGTACCTGGGAAGAGGTCGCGGGGGGCTATGTTGAAGGGTAAAGATAGACTGAAGGTCATAAATAGACGGGCCAGTCTACGCCCGAGGGATGTCGTATGCGAGAAGGCTGCTCCCTCAACTAGGCCTCCATCTACAGCTGATGGCCCGGTTTTGAAGAAACGACGCGTGTCTGAGGGTGATGCTGTGGTCCCCAAAAAGTCATCCGATACCAGTGCCATTGACGATACGCGGCCGCCCAAGCGGACAACGCAAAAGAAGTGGCTTTCGCATGGTCTATATGCGGGGCAGGATCGTTACTTTGATCCCAGGCTTACAGAGGAGAAGAACCGGCTTAAATTTGGAAAACAGAATGCAGAGGACAGGAAGAAGGCTTTCCCATTGCCGATGTTTGCGGGAGAGAGGCTGATTGAGGATGGCAGAGATTTCAAGTTGCCTTTTGATATATTCTCACCACTACCCCCTGGCCAGCCGAAACCGGATGAGTGGCGGAAGACTAATAAAAGTGTGTCACATCTTCATTATTTTCCCCCATCCTCTGTATTGGTACTAATCGTGGGTAACTAGATGTATTCGTCGGCGATGCGGCTTGCATATGGAAAGCGATCAAACTCAGAGAGCGTTCTACATGCATGTGTACTCCTGAGTTAGGTTGTGATGAGAACTGCCAGAATCGGTACATGTTCTACGAATGTGATGACAACAACTGTAAACTGGGCGCTGAACTGTGTGGCAATCGAAGTTTCGAAGGGCTGCGCCAGCGCATCAAGATGGGTGGCAGGTATAACATTGGCGTTGAGGTAATCAAAACAGCGGACCGTGGATATGGGGTACGCAGCAATCGGACTTTTGCGCCTAACCAGATAATTGTGGAGTACACCGGTGAGATTATCACTCAGGAGGAGTGTGAGAGGCGCATGAGGACTGTGTATAAGGATAATGAGGTTTGTCTCTATACCTGTTTGCAATCAAGGGAAGTATATCTATTGTGTATTGACTTGTGAATTCGTTTAGTGTTATTATCTTATGTATTTTGATCAGAACATGATCATCGATGCCACCCGGGGTTCCATTGCCCGGTTCGTTAATCATTCCTGCGAGCCGAACTGTAGGATGGAAAAGTGGACAGTTGCCGGAAAACCGCGCATGGCCCTATTCGCTGGTGAAAATGGGATCATGACTGGAGAAGAGCTCACCTACGATTACAACTTCGAGTAAGTATTTGCTCCTTACCTTTGCCAGGTTTGATTGGTCACTAACTGCCATACCCTTTTTCCAGTCCCTATTCTCAAAAAAACGTACAGCAATGCCGCTGTGGAGTGCCGACATGTCGTGGCGTGTTGGGCCCCAAGTCTAAAGACTCTAATAGGCCGCGCAGCGAGAAGCAGACAAATTCAAATCTGTCTCAAGAGCCAAGGAAAATTTCGGCAGTGGGCAAGAAGCGGAAACGGGAGAAAGTCCTCGACGAATCCTCCACGTCGCACCTCAACAAAAGAAAAAAGATTCTCAAGCCAGCATCGAAAGCACTCAAGCCTAGCATCAAGAAAGCTGTAGCCAGCACCCGACCAGCCACTAATTCAAACAAAAGGGCGAAAGCGAAACCAAATCCCAAGACCAAAACCTCTACTATTACTACTATCAAAGCCAATTCAGTTCCAACTAAGAAATCTACAGTCAGACCCCGCGCCACAATATCGAGAACAATCCCTGCAAAACAGAAGACTCAGAGATCTGCGGCGAAGACCCCATCCCAGACGCAGCCGCAAGGCAACACGAAGCTCAACCGACCTTCCAAAAAGCTGAACTCCATTTCTGCTGCACGCGCCGCAAGTAGGACCCCAGCTGCTATGAGACGGTTCCTGGAAGCAGGGAAAATGAATCATAAAAAAGAAGACGACGCGAAGGAAACCACATCCTTGTCTTCTCGGAGTTTAACTTCGAAGACAAAAGCTGGAGTGCCCGTGACGCAGAGGAGATATACGATGAACAACCCTGGAAAACAGTCTAAGATTAGTAAAACTGTGAAGAGAATGGTTGGGACCATGAGACGGGGTAGAAAATCTGCTTGATTTGAACGGAATTCACGTTTGTTTTCTTAACGATTTCAAAATGTTTATTTCTCTTGGTTTTGGCCTTATTCGCGGTTTTTTGGTAGATATACATGTACATTGAATATTTATTGTCTGATCTTGTGTATAGAACATTGGTTTCCTGTTTTAACATTTTGTTCTCTTCGGTCTCTCGAACTAATGGGTCTTTCTCCATACGTTTGTGTTAGGTATGCTAGATTTTGAATATTTAAAGGTTTTGAATGCTAGCTTGGGATGATGCGGAGAGTGAATCTGGGTAGTTGAAGTGCCGGAAATAATGTGAAATTGGCGATGGGATATTTCAATTTTTTGGCTGAAATTTGGCTGAAATTGCATAGTCAATTTGAACTTTTTGGGGTGGTGCTGCGGAGGGATGATGATGATATGAATATATACATCCATGGATGCTTCATGTGGGAGCAGGCCAATAAAACACAAAAAATCACTTCGGCAATAGCGTTTACGGACTCTCTCCGAGCAGGTCCCGTTTTGAGGAAGGTCCCCTCTCCGGC